TAGATAAAACTTAGGCCTTTTAACTTGATGAATGGACAGACAAGAATTCTTCAAATTTTGATTTTTAGATTTGAGTGTTTGGATGTGATGTTATATCTGATGTACTCTGAATTTTTGCTAGATTCTTGCTGCTACACCACCACACCTACGAGTATCTGTAGAAGACTTTTGACTTGTATAACCGGAAGTTGGAGTTGACTGCTCAGAAGGAAGGGAGGGAGTGAGGTTTTCCCTCGGAGATCTCTCGGATGCAAGGCAAGAGCGCTGTAACTCTGGTTTTCCTACCTACTGCATATGTGTAACTATTAGATACAGAGTACAGGGTCACTTGTAAGTTATCACCGACCAGATAATTTATGGGATGGAATTAGATTTGGAAATCATCAGATGAAATGGGAGGTTTGATTCATGGCTTGTTTTTTTTTTGGGAGAGAGTTTGTTGCTTATCTTGACTTTGACTTTATTAGCCTTTCATCTGTCATTGTTGTATTAAATGGAGTGTGGATATTTGGCTGGTGCTCGTCATTGATTTCATCCAAAAGAGATACTTAGGTAGGGAGAGAAAAGAGATCATCCGTTCTTCTTACTCCAACTCTTGGAAATAAATGGTGGCTGCTGACCAGGTGTATGTACCAAGGAATATACTTACTAGGTATTCAAATCATGCACACCACTACATTTACGTTTCTTCCTTCTGGTGGTGTTCTGCTGTGTTGTGTTGTTCAACTTTATGCACTGTAAGTGAATTGCATCCTGCTGGGTCATGGACAAGAAAAGACCGATTATTGTAATCTATCAGGGATATTGATTACTATTCTTCCTTTTCCTATCTCTATCTTTATCATTTATCGCGACATTAACTTGAGTGATTGTGATATCGAAATTAGAAATGACGTATCTATCTAGGAAAAGTCCCTCTGAACTATCTATTTAATTACTCTGTACTCTGTACAATTTCTTAATTTAGAAAAGGTTCATTATGCAATAAGTTACGAAATACCTGTTACTAGGCTGTTAGTGCTACCAAGTACTTTGCGAGATACTGTATGAAGGAGTCTGAAACGGGGAGTGCGTCGGATGTTGTACAACTGGCAGTTTTGGGCTGGAAGGTGCAGATTATGTATGTATGTCAGTACGTACAGTAGAGCAAGAGCCGATGAGAAAAGAGGCAAATCATGTGTATTATTGTGTAACTTGTGTGTATATTGTGTGTGTACCGAGACTGAGACTGAGACTAAGACTATGTAAATGGGTCCGAAACACGGGGGTGTTGAATGCAAATTGAGAGGCTGGGAGAATGGAATAGTTGCGATGCTTTGAAAATTGATTTTGGTGTTCCTCCTCCATCACTGATAACGCCTTTTCAAGTCACGATTCACGTCATTCAGGTCTGTACATACTACAGAGTAGAGTATGGGAGAATCCTACTAGTCCGAGAGTCCGAGGTAGAGGGCGGGGTCGGGGGATAGGCTAGGCTGTTTTGGGAAGAGTGAGGATTGATAAGAGAAGAAGGTTCAATCACGAGGTGTTAGTTAAGTTGTCGTCAAGGTTACTGTCGATGTTGCCTTTATGATTGAATTCACCATTAATATGTTTACTGCAGTGCAAAGAAAGCATTAAAGGGTCATTAACATATATTGAATGAAAACATATCGTTCGAGATTATGTAATAGATTACCTTGGTAAAATACAATATAATAAAAAAGTTCTGTCATTTGAATGCGGTCATGATGTTGCCATCGAACCTTTGATTTGAGTTGTTACGCTGTACTGATCGGTAATCATTCATCTTTCAAATACACTCAGTTCCAGATTCCGAGAAGATTCCATTTCCAAGTACGGAATACAGCCTCGGAATATTCAGGCTGGATCTTTCCGCTTCTTTTCTCTCCCACCGCCGTACAGAGAACTGTACTGGAGTAATTCTATGGAAATCCCTAGAAGGAGCGAGTCAACGGTGAGTAAAAGAAGGCGCAGTACATTGATTATTGATTCCCTTTCGAACGTACGACGGTGATTCATTCTTTCTTAGCGTACTTTAACGTGAGTGGCGCGGCGCTAAGCGATAAGGCAAGCTTGGGGCCGTCGTCTCCTTGTGAATACTTAAGGTCCAACATCTCACTCTTAAGCTCCTCCTCTTTCCATCATACACAACAACTCCATCCAAGCAACTTTCTTCACGATAACGTCCTTTGATCCTCAATAGATCATCATCTACAATATTATCTACACTGTCAAGATTAATTTTACAAATACACAAACATGCAGATCTTCGTAAAGACCCGTAGGTTATCACCTTTCCGTTTACCGCCTTATGATACCTCTTGCCACTTTGCATTTATCAACAACTTCCTTTGACAACTTTATCAATAACTATCTCGATAATATCTGCTAACATCGATCTGCTATAGTTACCGGAAAGACCATCACCCTTGAGGTCGAGTCCAGCGACACTATTGACAATGTCAAAGCCAAGATCCAAGACAAGGAGGGAATTCCTCCCGATCAACAGCGTTTGATTTTCGCAGGCAAACAACTTGAAGATGGTCGCACCTTGAGCGATTACAACATTCAGAAGGAGTCCACTCTTCATCTCGTCCTCCGCCTTCGTGGTGGTATGCAAATCTGTAAGTTATCGTACCTGCCATAATGCTCCTTAATAGCTTACTAACATCTTCATAGTCGTTAAGACCCTCACCGGAAAGACTATCACCCTCGAGGTTGAATCTTCCGATACCATCGACAACGTTAAGGCAAAGATTCAAGACAAGGAGGGCATTCCTCCCGACCAGCAACGTTTGATTTTCGCCGGAAAGCAACTCGAGGATGGTCGTACCCTCTCAGATTACAACATTCAGAAGGAGTCTACTCTACACTTAGTTCTTAGACTTCGTGGTGGTATGCAAATCTTTGTCAAGACTCTCACCGGAAAGACTATCACTTTAGAGGTTGAGTCGTCGGATACTATCGACAACGTTAAGGCTAAGATTCAAGACAAAGAGGGAATCCCCCCTGATCAACAACGTCTCATCTTTGCTGGTAAGCAACTTGAGGATGGCCGAACTCTTTCCGACTACAACATCCAAAAAGAATCTACTTTGCATTTGGTCCTTCGTCTTCGTGGTGGTATGCAAATCTTTGTCAAGACCTTGACTGGAAAGACCATTACCTTAGAGGTAGAATCATCAGACACTATTGATAATGTTAAGGCCAAGATTCAAGATAAGGAGGGTATTCCACCTGATCAACAACGATTGATCTTCGCTGGAAAGCAGTTGGAGGACGGCAGAACTCTTTTGGATTACAACATTCAAAAGGAAAGCACCTTGCACTTGGTGCTCCGTCTTCGTGGTGGTCAATAAATGTTTTCGATTCGATCTGCACATATTCTTTAGGCGTTTTACGATAACCTAATTCGAAGGTGTTATGGGCTGGAATGGCAGGTTTTCCTCATAGTGCACTGGCATGTGCCACCTTGATTGATAGTATTCAATAGTCAACATATCTTTGACATCTAACATTGTGCTCCTATGAATGTGACATTGATCATTGTATGTTGTTGTGATTTTCATGTAAACAATGCATATTTGTCATCTTTATCTCCTTATCGAATCTATACCTTGATGGAGTGAAAATAATGACGGAGTTGTTCTCCACACGATCCACACAGTAAGCTAAAGTGATGCGAGGCTGCAGCAGCAGAATGAAATTTGTAAATTCGGAACCTTCCTCATTTATGAGATACATATTTGAGCATCTGCAACGCTAAGTATCAACGTTTTTAGCACCACCTAACAAATTATTAATAACCCATTTGTACTTGGCACCTACTTCTGCGAGTTGAACAAACAGCTCGTACGACATTCCCAAACATCCGCTACAAAGCTTGCACGCGGCAATCGAAACGACAAAGTCAATCATGCAGTCGTGAATGAAGTATGCCATCATACTTCTACCACATAAAATTCGAGTTGTATCCTTTACCTGATTCAGATTCAAAGAAAGTTTCAAAAAGAGAGCGGGAGAGGGATATTTGGATTCCTGGTGAGGGGACGGATATTTTTGGTGGCGATACTTCTTCATCCTCCAGTCTTGTAGGCTCAGCCTGGCCGAAACATAAACCTGTTGCTTGGGAACAGGATAGGAGGAGGCAAGGTGGCACTGGTAGTTCGAATGTTTCTGAACAGGAACGAAATACGGGGAATAATATTAAGGAAGCTGGGGATCAGATACGGGCAGATAGTGCTCAGGGTGCCCAGAACGGAGTCATTGATTCTGGGGTGAGGAAAGGAGGGGTTATTGACTGCGGACCTTCACGAGGAATACGACCTGAAGAATCGGAAAACTTTGTTGTATTGAGCACTGCAAAAGATTCGCAATTAGAAATCGCACCACCGAGCGCGAGTTTGGTGGATAAGAAGAGAGATTTGCAGACTTCGAAGAAAGATTGGAGGTTTGGGAGGGTAAGAATTGAGAGTTTGGATATGAATGGGGTGAGCGGATATCATGGCAGAGGGAAGGGCAGTCAGAGTGGCATTGTAGGTGTGAATGCGGGGCTGGAACCGGTGGGTGGTAAAGTTACAAAGGCAAGATTCGAGGAATTACATACCAAGTCAGAGAATGGATTGGAGTTGAAGAATACGGAGGTGGGGTGGGGAGTGGTGCATCTTTGTAGGGAGGGAGAGGAAACACCTGGGTTAATGGGGGTGGAGGTTTACAACGCAGATACTGTGGCAAGTCCTACGAATGTTGCAGGAGATAGTGGCTTAAGTGAGACGGTTGAGAAAGATGGCGCAGAGGATTGTACTATACTATGCATACCGGCTGTTCCGAGCTATCTTACATCGAGAGATTTCCTCGGTTTTGTGGGAGAGAAAACAATGCATGAGGTGAGCCATTTCAGAATGGTTATGACGGGAAGGATAAATAGGTATATGGTACTTATGAAGTTCAAAGATGGAAATGTGGCGAAAAAATGGAGAGCAGAATGGGATGGTAAAGTTTTCAATAGTATGGAGGTATGTATTTACTTTAGCATCATGTATCTTTGTTTAGAACTGACGGTATTTGATATAGCCAGAAACTTGCCATGTCATGTTCATAAAGTCAATCACTTTTCAAACACCTGCCTCCTCCAGATCAAATACAAGTTTTCCCGAACTATCACACGATCCTTTCACGCCGGCTCCAATACAAAGTAATCTTAAGCCTTTCCCACCTCCAACTCCAAATCTCGTCGAACTTCCCACGTGCCCTGTCTGCCTCGAAAGAATGGACGATACAACAGGCCTCTTCACGATCCTATGTCAACATGTCTTTCACTGTGCCTGTCTCGAAAAATGGCGCGGCACAGGTTGTCCAGTTTGCCGGCACACCAATCCTTCTCTAGCACTCGCCTCTCAGCATTCTTCTTCAACTTACGACCCGGATAATCCACCGTTCGGAAGTGGTGAAGCATCATTATGTAGTATATGTGATTGCACTGATGATCTCTGGATATGCCTCATATGCGGAAATGTTGGATGTGGACGATATAAAGGTGGACACGCCAAAGAACATTGGAAAGATTCCGCGCATAACTTTGCACTGGAAATCGAAACTCAACATGTATGGGACTACGCCGGAGATATATGGGTTCATCGGCTCATTCGCGATAAAGGAGATAATAGCAAAGTCATTGAACTTCCTTCATCCCGCTTTCGAGGCACATTGGCTCCAGCGGAGAATATGGACATGGTTCCGCGGGAAAAACTCGAAAATGCGGGGTTAGAATTTACACATCTTTTGACTTCACAATTAGAAAGCCAAAGGGTTTATTTCGAGGAATTGGTTCGCAAGGCAGCGGCAAAAGCTAGTGCGGCAAGTGAAAAAGCTATAATCGCTAGTCGGGATGCAGAAAATGCATTGAGTAAATTAGGAGAGTTGGAGGAAAAGTGTCATAAATTGAGCACAGATACGCTACCGAATTTGGAAAAGGAATTGGAAAGGGAGAAAAGGAAGGCGGAAAAGGCTCAAGAGATTGCGAGGGGTATGGGGAAGAGTTTAAGGGAGGAGAAAAAGGTTAGTGAGGGTTTAATGGAGAGGATTGGGTTTGTTAATGAGGGGGTTAAGAAGAAGGAAGAGGAGATTAAGGGGTTAAGGGAGGAATGTGAGGAATTAAGAGAAGCGAACAGAGATCTTATGGTTATGATTAGTGGAAGGGAGAAGATTCGCGAGATGGAGGAGACAGGGGAACTTGAGGAGGGAGAGGCAGAAGAAGCGGGGGTTAGTATAGGGGAGGGAGAGAAGAAGAAGAAGGGGAAGGGGAAGGGGAGAAAGTGATTGGGAGGGCTTTTTTGGCGTATCATGTCGCGGTTCGGCGATTTGGTTTTTGGTTTTTGGGGTGGATGGTTTGGTTGGCGTGGTATTGTATTTGTATATTGCGTTAATTATTTGATGAATGAATGGAGAAGCGCATAGCAAGTATAGCCGTAGTCATAGCGCTCTACTCGAGTAGAAGGAGGGAGATGTTCGAAAAATTACTCAAATACAACTATCATCCATTTATACATCTATCATCCGTCCATCCATTCACATTCACACGCATAAAAGAACACACAAAGATAGATTATAAGACTGTCATTTCGCTATAGTTTTTATTGAATTATTTTATTTTATTTTATTTTATTTATTCAATCGTCCATATATCATCTCATCTCATCTCATCTCATCTCATACCCATCCATACACACATACACATACACACATAACAAAATCTCTGCATCTCTGCATCTCTGCATCTCCCTAGCCCAAAAATTCCATCTGTCCATCTATATACATTTAAAAAGAAGAAAAAAGGAAAAAGGAAAGAAAAAGGAAAGAAAAAGTATCTTCCAGGGGTATATTTTCTCGCTCCGTTCATACCATAGATAAATAGCTATGTATGTATGTATATATCTCTAAAATAACTATACCCAACAACTTAATAAGATATATATCTATATTCCTATTTGAAGTTATGTCTTTTTGTGTAATTATACTGTACTATGCTATACTATACTATAGCATACTGTGATAATATTGATATATAGTATGTATGTATGTATGGTATAGAATAGAATAGAAATACAAACATCATATCACATCTAATTCGAAGGATCTTCCCAGCTATCGGATTGGAAGAGTCGGCTGGCCCATTTTAGGGTTGGTATGTTTCTTGCTTGGTTGTTGTTGTTGTTTTTCCGGTTTTGGTTTTCGTTGTTGTTTTCGTTGCTATTCTCGTTTCCGTTTGTGTTGGCATTTCCATTTCCATTTCCACTGTTGCCGCCGCGACCGTTACCATCTCCCTTACCTTTACCCCTACCACTGCCGCTGCCTTTAGTAGGTGTTTGTGTAGCGGAAGCGGAAGAGGAAGAGGAAGATGAGGTCATATTGGCAATGGTGGAGTTGGCTCCTCCGTTTATTACTGGAAGGGTCATAACTGGGGATGCTACGGATGTGACAGAGGCGCTAAGGAGGGCTGTTTGTTTGTTAGTTTGATGTTCCTTTTCTTCGTTGGAGCTAGAGGTGGGTAATGAGGAGAATATACCATTAGCACCTGCAAAACCTTTCACACCTTCAGCGGAACCAGCGGCTTGATTAGCAGCAATGGCAACGGGAAGATCGACGTTGTTTTCTTGGACTTGTGACTCGATGTCTTTGAGTGTTTGAGCCGTGGTAATTGAATGGGCTGTGTTATTACTAGCAGCAACATCGATTTGTTGAACAGGAAAGCAACCACCAAATGGACCAGCGACAGCATTATTGCGACATCGAACGGTACAGATATTTCCAGTGGAGGCACCTGTACAGGCAAGGTTATCGGGCATTTGAACGGTGATATTGAAATCTTGGGTTTTAGCTTGAGAGAGGCCGTTTACACCTGGGACGTTATTCGTAACGGTAAGATTTTGAGAAATTATACCAGCGTTGCTGGTTTGATCGAGATCACAGGAGTAAGGACCGGCTCCATCGGCGTTGACTTGATGAATAGTAATGGTCATCAATGTGCCAGCTTTGACTTGTGTGACGGCCTTGGCTGCGAGTGCATTCTCAGTGTTTTCTCCTACATCGATGTTGCCGCTCAATTCTGTACGGCCACATTCGTTGACGATATTGGCTGCAATTTCGGAATCACGAATGATGGTTGTATCTTGTTGACAAGGGCTGATGCCGGTACAATTTCTTGCGATAGATCCATCAACTAAGTAAATTAAATTAGATTAATATTCCGAAATATAAGAAGTTTAATTTAATGTTCAAGTACCTTTAAATCCTACACTTGCGGGGGATCCTGCAATACCTTGAGCAGCAAGGATAACACCGTGTGCTTGAGCGACAGACAATAATGCCGCTTGAAATAAGATAGATGTATACATATTGAAGAAATGGAAGGAAGGAGAGGAAGGAATGTGTCCTGCACTAAGAAATAAATGAATAAGAGTTAGATAATAGGAGAATCGCCCGGATCCTGTATAGAATTGAAACAATACAAAGTGTAACGAAAAAGAAAGAACTGTGTACACGACTGGAAATGGGGATGTAGATGTATAAACAGTAGAAAGGAAAGTCTTATGCCTTTTAACATCCGTGTATCAACCAAACTTCACCATATAAGTCCGTCATGGATAATAGCTCATATTGATTTCTTAAGGATATGCATTCTCCTACAAAATCTGTTGCAAGCAGTGTGGAGCACAGGATTATTCTTGCCTGCTAAGGAGAACATTAGCTGCTCGGTACTGAACAATAATAGGAACCAATTTGCAGCCATTAAATGAATTCAGAAACAACCCAAGTCGTCATCTTATGCTTCCACGCTCATTGTATCAGGTTTTTCTGATGGTCGCTGTATCAGATTCTTCAGATGACAGATCTTCATCCTCAAAACAAGTTCATTATAATGAATTCCAAATTTAGGCCACCAAAAGACTATTGGCCACCACAATAGAAGATTGTGATACACGACACAAGGATACTACCCAGCGTCCTATCCCCAAACTTGAGGGCATTGGAAGAATCATGGGATATGAATTTGATAAGAAGAGAATTGAAGACGTTTGACCCACTGTCCAGGAGAGGCTATCAGGACGGGGTTGTTTGTGGTACCCAAGGTTAATTAATGTGCGTGCATTGAATAGATGAAGAATAAATAATCATACCAGTTCTTTGCGGTAAATAGAAGAGTTGAAACGAATGCCAAGGGAAGTGGGATGAAATGAAGTAGAAAGAATTGAAAATGTCGTGTCTATTGTCTGAAGTTTTGACGATGGTTGTTTGAAGTGGGTGGAGTATAAAGTTACAATATTCCGTAGAATAAGGTCCCCTCATTGGAAGAATCACCAATCATAGCCCGGTCCTAATCCGAAGTATTCCCGCTCAGGGACAAATTATTCCGTTGAAGAAACTTGAGGTCAAAATAAATCTATTTGCATCACATCTGAAAAAATTCATCCGATAATTCTTTTGATGTAGGAAGTTACAACAGTACGTTATGAATATGGGTCGATTTAAAAAGAAACATGTATGTATCATGGAGACGGCTCGTCCATTTCTGATAACAAGTCTATTGCATTGCAATTGTCCAATATTAACGAGCAAGATCAGGGTATGGCAAAGAACGCAAAGTCTGATCAACATCTGAATGTATTCTGTAGGCCGAGCCCGACACAGGCGCTCCCCGCAATAGATCACTCGTACAACCAACGCACGGTATTCCGTGCAGTATCATGATGGGGAGAGAGTAAGAACACAGGGACCTTGCGCTTTCTTGTACTGCTCATACACAGTGGAATCGCTCATTTCCTTATTCTCATTGTGCTGTTCGAAACAAACAATCAGCATGCCACTATGGGACCGAATCTGCTAAAAAGCAGCAACTGCTTGGCGATAAGACTAATACCTCATCGGATGATGGGGAATTATTTGAGGCCGTAGTTGAGTCTCGAATCCATGGCTCAGGTCAGCCAGCGCCTTTGGTTTTGCAAAGCTTAACAGTAGCAACCACACAACGCTTGGCATCTTCAATAAGATCTGGAGCCATGAGATTTTTGTTCCTTTATATCGATGTTACCATTGATAACAATTGATAACAGCCGGGTACGAGGGAAACACAGGAGCTTGATTCGGCACATGCCTTCAAAGTTGAAAGCTTAGTCAAAACATTCTTTCGTGAAGTCAGTCATCAACACTATTCATTAGACGAAGCCATTTTCAATATCTCATGCTCAGGAGATGGGCTTCCAAGACAGTAATAATGAAGACGGTTCCAAGACAGTAATAATGAAGGCGGAAGCGTAACGGAATGCCCAGAGATGACTTCGACAGCTAGTGGCTTGAGCAGCTTAGGAGGAGAGTCTGATTAATACTATTGTGGTGCGATATTGATATGGCCATGCTTCTTGGACTTCCAACCACGATTGATCGCCGAGATGGAAAAGGGAGCTTCCCATCAATACCCCTATCCTATACACCGCCGAGAAGTAGCGCTTACTCCACGCGCCAGTCAAACCCACCATCTATTACTCTCTGGACATCTGAGATATCTGCTCCATTGTGGGATATTTTTGTACCGGAAGACGAGTAGCCCAACATAATAGATTTTGCAAAAGTTGTGAAAATGCATGATATGATTGACCAAATCTTTTCACACTATCCGCCATATCTCCGAGTACATAAACCCTGACACATCATTCGATGATCATCCCGATTGCTACTGGCCACCTCGCGCTCGTTCCGACATCCAGAACAGTTCTGCTTTTACTATAATGATTCTCCATCGGCAATACATAAGTCTAGTACCCTACTTTTGGGCCACCCCTAATATAGGCCACCTTTTTACATCAAAAACAACGATTTTAATCTATTAATTATTCAATAATCAATATATCAAATCAATTAAAATTTTGATTATAAAATCATTATATAATTATAAATAGATTCTGAAAATTTCAGATTTTTCGCAATTTTATTGATCGAGATTTTAAAGATTGAAATTTCGATTTTCAATTTGTATAGAATTTATTGTGATAGAAACCCCTGCTTTCCTCCTATCCTTATTATATAAGAAATCTCAGGTATATTAACCATATTTATATATGATACGATTACTCGGGATTAGTATACGATTTAGGTGACCTGAGGATCAGATCCGGACAAGTACTAGGTATCAATGGTTATCGGTAAAGTAAGATCATTGGAGGGATAAATATGACTTCTTTTTGCCTAGCCATTGCGGCTAGGCCATTCATTTGTGTATATATAGAGTAGCTATCCCCATCTACAGGTGCTCTTCACCTGTAGATTCTAAGTTAAATACAATTGCTGGTCTATGAACACCCTTTTGGTCACATTAAGTTTATATCATTTTTATAATAGAATTTTGTTGAAAAAATCCAAAAGTAAGATTTGAGATTCTATGAAAAAAATCAAAGAAGGAATAATATAAATTTAAAAATTGAGTTTTTGTATAGGGCTAATTATCAGTGCCCTGTTTTCCTGTGTAGGATTTGCAAGAAATGTCCTTGAACAAGGCATGTAGAATATCGTACCATTTCAAAGTCATTTGCAGTGTTTTCTCAAATGCTATATGCCTCTTTTAATAAAAACCGACTAATTCTACAAGCCATACGATGTTTTCATAGAGTTGTTGAAACTATCTAGATGATATATTTGTTGCGTTACTGATGCATAGTACGGAGGGTGCGGCCGCATTCATCTAAATGATATAAACTTAAGCTGTAACAGTGTTGCTATTAGTTATAATAATTGCTGAGTAGGTATCTGACGAAATTTTTTGAAGTAGGAATATATGAATTAGTGGTGCTAGCTACGAGAAGTTGAATGTCTGATCCTGCTATGCACGGCGTGCTTACTCAGCATTATCTTGACAACATTCGATCAACCAGGTCTGCCTACACAACCAACAACATTCATGGTCGATAAACTTTCTGCGATAATTGATTGACTAAAGTATCTGAGTTGATGCAAAAGAGTACCGGGTCGTCACGGCCTGTCCTGGAGGTGGTGCAACGCGATGAAGACTTGAGTGGAGAAGGCCATTGGTCAACAGCGACATTCCATCACCAATATTCATAATCGCATGTCCAGCTCTTGGCTCAACATATTCCCATTTATCACACCCCTTCCTCAAAACCTGAAGTCCAGGTTGTTTTGTGAACAAGATCGTCAAACTACCGAGATCTGTATGTGGCGTTCCAGATGCCCCGCGCTCCTCGGCAGGCTGAGGATGATACTTTAGTAGCCGGAGGATGCAAGGCGAGGCTCGATCTGGTCTGTGGAATTCTTCTAATCTTCTGCCTACTTGGAGACCTAGGGCCCGTGAAAGAGCGTCGTGGATAGAGGCCGTAGCTTCCTGCATTGCCAGCATGTACGCTTTCAACATAGGCATGTTCTCATCGAAAATTGGTGGTCGATAATATGGCTCATCGCTAAGACCCAGGACACCATCTTTGGGAATTTAAAAGTAATTAGAGCCATCGCACATTCAAGACCAAGTGGGGTACATACTGCATAGCTTTTAAACCCGTCCCGACCATTTCTCAGCTCTAGACATCCACACAGTGTAAGTTGATGTATTTGATAAGGGCTCTTTAGTAGTACATACGCCCAAAATTTCTTCCCTTTGGCTTGTAACTTCTCGTTATGAGCAAAAATCCAGAAGTTTGTCAGAAAGAGCCTACCCATTCAATTTCATATACCCTATTTCGTCAACATCATATTTCATGAGATAGTCCTGCGGAAGACTGAAAAGCTCTTCCTCGAAGCGATATATCTGATTAATGAGACTTAGAACAGTCTTGCTCTTAGAGATCGTTCGAAAGTCAAGGTAGAAGAAACCATATTGCTTCGATGCATCAAGGAGCTTAGTGGCTTCGGCGGGGTCCCGATCAAAGAGTCCTTGAAGGTCAGTATTAGGAAGGCCTTGGGCTGAATCTTGAGAATTACTTTGAGAGGTCATATTGAATGTTGACGGATTATTGGCCTATTGGTTTTGGGAGGTCAGTATGAAGGCGATATAGAAAGCAGAAAAGTAAACTATGAGTTGTAAGAGTTGTGGCCATTCATCACCGCATATTTATCTAGAACCATTCTTTGCGCAGCTCACAGAAATCTATCTTGAAGTATGGACCAATTTTAGTATCAAATTGATGTCCACTTTCGATATCACTGTTCTTTTATTAGAACACAAAATATGATTCTATCTACGCATCTAATTTGGAACCAAACAAACAAATCATTCCTATACAAAATCAAGCTTACGCGTCTCAAGCAAGATACAGTTCATGAGATTATTTTGATTGCAGAGAAACGTCCATTTAGACTAAAGTATTCTCGATTAGGCTAGATCAATTTTCGAAGGTTGAATCAACATTTCGGGGAAGTCATAAAAATGAGGGGATTTAGTCGGCTCGCTTCTCAACATCAAGATCTTGTATTCTTCAACTTTTCAAATAATTTATATATAACAAATTCTTATTGGAGATTTCTTTGAATATTCGATATATCATATGATAGATTCATTGTGTTGATTTTTTTTTAAAAATTTTAGAAAATAAGAGATATATTAAAAAGATTATAAAAGATAATATTTTACAGATTATAATATAATTCAATATTATAAAATTGAAGCGGTACAATGCACTTTCTAAGGACATTCGCTTTGCTATAAAGGAGTCGGTCTTTTAAGTAGTCGATTATTAATATACTTAATTGTATTTTATTATATATTATAAATGTTTTTTTGGGAGGAAATTCATTATTTAAATACTTTTGATATTCAGTTCTTGAATTATATTATAATTCAGATTTTAAAATTTTGAGAGCTTTTAATTATAATAAAGATTAAAGTTTAAATCTTTGGAAACACTTGACTTGTAATGAATAAACGGGTAGCTTAAATTCCTACGAAATCATCTTTGAAATCATCTTCGACAGGGCACTTTCCGGTTCAAAACGCAGGCCTCCCTTCCGGGATGGTCCCTCGATTGATTGGATTCCTGTAGAAAAAAGGCACATTCTGAGTAGCTTCAAGTTTAGATATCAATCATCGTTTAAGGTTTTAGAAAAACATCTGTTCTATAACCGTAGAAGTCTTGCATTCATTAATATTTATATATATCCAATGAAAATCTAAAACCGTGGAAACCCTTGTATCCGTCGAGATTTATATCCAATGAAAAGCTATATCCACTCGATTCAAGCAGTATTTTGAAATCGCCAATCCAGTACAGAATTGAATAGAACGGAAGCACAACCAATATACGCAGGCACTTTTTTCGCCGTAGGTATTCTTATACCCTTGGGAGATTACGAGGCCCTGCGGGGCTCCCTCCAGATATCAAACAATATGATCATCATTATCATCATCCTAGTGCAAAATATTTTCAAATCTGATCATCGAACACTACTATCTTATTGAAGTTGATGAGTTTTGGTGTGAGAACATGTTCTCGGCCAATATAAGTGGTCTAGCACTGTATATCCCTTTTCCAAATCCGGTCGATTTCCGATGGATTATACTCCTCCACTAGCTCAAGGATAAGGATACAGGACCAAAAGTATTAATTATTTGTAAGCGTTCTATCTATATGTATTATAACTCTCTATATATTCATAAATGAGAAATTAATGAAAAGTATATTATAGCTTTTCGAACCTATATACAAATGCGAGTACAACCTCATGATAGACAACCTTTGTCTCCGCTCCCCCCGCAAGATAGCTCCTAGCTCTTCCATTGCTCCGACAGAAGATTTCCTATCTCCTTCGTAAATAGGCAAAGAAAGCTGTGCTTGAACTTCGTTCCTAAAATCCTAATATACCTGCTTCACATATCTATAAATAGTAGTACAAAATAGGCAAATTTCTACCTATAATCGCACGCCTACAAGCTCCCCCACTCGACCTCCACCACCCCATCCATCATTCACTGCTATCTCCGGGGAGATAGTAGATTTCTTTAATTAGTCGTTGTACGTCTTGATGGATGGTGGTCAGTGATGGGCGGGGGCCATGGATCGAGTGGGGGCTTGTAGGCTTGCGAATACTCCATTACCATCCCCGACAAAGCAAAGGTTACCAAGAAAAGTGTGGGGGAGCAAGTACATTACAAGAAATATGGGGTGTTCCAATTATATGAAAGGACCATTTAAAACCTTAATCAAGAACTTTAAATTTGACGATTCCGAGATTTCCGTCTAGATAGTCAGAAGATCAATTCCACCATCATTTTCCTGCAAAGGATGTTTCCGATTGCATACAATTTTGCCCGTGAGACCTACTACGGAGTTCCGACAGGAACCCTACCTAGTATTTTCAGAGTCTTACAAAAATGGAAACCTGTTATTATTGTTGGTATGCCTCCGGTGCGTAGAAATTGTAGAATCTATAGTGATATGAGATTGAACTTACTCACAACGAGGGCACCCTTTCGAGATGAGCATAAAGCTGTGTAGTTGACCGCTTTAGGGAAAGAAGATTTTATTGTGCATAGGGGTTGAAAAGAACTGTGCGAGGGCGACGGCTATGTAAAATTTGTCGCTGGAGTGAGTTGCACGTGCTTTTAAGCAGGTGGCTGTCACACTCAAGAATACTGGGTAAAGTATCTTGTATTAGAAAATACTAAGCTAAGGAGAAAAGAAGAAGGAAAACAAGAGTAGCGAGTTTTCCTATGATTAAATACAAACGGGGCATGCCACGTGACCCGGAGGTGTGAGGCGTCACAGTGGCAACCAACAATTATCTTTCTATTATTGGGTTTTGAATAGTTGATTACAAGATCGTGTATATTGAAATATGAATATGAGATACTGTTCTAAGTATGACTTTTCACATCAATGATAGAAAGTATTAGGCCTAGAATATAAAGACATTTAAATGATTATAAATTCGATTAAAAGAAAAGATTTACATCAAGAAGATATTTTAAAGAATTTAAATATTTTTGATTTTTTAAAGAGGGTTTTTCTTAAAAAAAAATTATTTAAATAGAAAGAATTTATTAATTCACTTTGAACCCACTTAGTCATTAAAAAAGATCAGATTAATAAAAAAATATATATAATAAATATCTCAAATTCTTTTGATATAAACTTAATATACTGTAACGATGCTGTACTGGAGGCAGCGGCTGCCTAAGTGTCACGATTCATTAATTCACGTGACCTCGAGGACCTTTTGGACCTTAGGGTCCCAAAGGTCCTCAAAAGATGATATAGGGTATATAAACATTCATTTAGTCTCGTAGTTAAGGAGCTTTGTGCTCAACTTAGCGATCCCCCCTATCATTACATCATTCAAAATAAAAATACACATCATTTCACATCACTATATTCTCCAAATCATCAAGCAAGAAAGCAACACTTTCCTATTCAACCACAATTCAGATACGGGCCGGGATCACTTCTCTCTCACCTTCATTGATCACGGAAATCCTATACATCAATTTTCCATACAACCCACACTAGGTATCTATCTCCAATACTCCGCAACCCTAGCCCTACACAGTGTGTCCAATAGTC